TTTTCTACATAGAGCTGTGGGCCCTTGTTTTGGGCCATTTTTTCAGTGCCATGAAAATCATACTTTTGGTGAGAGAACATGTTGGACGGGTATCTTTCTTCCTATGTGTTCTAACTTTTATTTTTAGCTCTTTTAACAAATATTTTTTTATTTTATTAACTAGGGGCGAAGTTAGGGCGGTCTAAAATTAAATCGAAGAGAGATAATTTGAATTGAAAAAATTATTAATTTATTAATATTATTGTTAATGGGTTTATGTTCCGTGGTTATTAATTTTTAATGGTTTGAAGCTTTTTTTAAACGGGTTAATCAATAATTTGATTGTAAATTAAATAATTAATTTTATATCATTTTGTATATAAAATACCTGACTTTGAGTTTGATTTTCTATTTTTACTTCTTGTTGTCTCAAATATTTGGGTTATGCTACAACGTAAAAGTGTTTGCTTTTTAGCGAGAAAATGACACATTAGTCCCTTTAACTATAGATGTAGATCTGAAATGGTCTATTAACTATATACTTGACGGATACAGTCCTTTAACTATTTAAAAACTTCTCAGTTTTGGTTCCTTAACTATACACTTATTGATTTTAGTCCCTCAACTATACACTTGACGAATATAATCCTTTAACTATTCAAAAACTTGTGAGCTTTGGTCCCTTAACTATATACTTACCGGTTTTAGTCCATTAACTATAAAATTATCAATTTTAATCCTTTAAGTATTCAAAAACTTATCAGGTTTGGTCTTTTTCCATTTTTAATATAAATAGTATAGGTTCATATTAACGAAATTCATGTCTCGAGAAATTAAATCTTTAGCAACTTTTTTTGTTGTTTCTCTCTCTCCGCTTCATTTTCTTCAAATTAACCTAATGCGAAGAACCTTAACCTTAACGATTCAAAATAAAATTCACGAGTAAAAATAATATAAGTCAATTTTATTTAATACAAGACAAAATGAAGCATATTTACCTTAAATATGCTAAACTTTATTATAAAAGAAAAAAGATATTCCCCGTTAAATTCAACATTTGTACTTCAACGACTTCATTGAAGAGAATTTGTTTAATTTTTAAAAAATTAAAATTTATAAATGATATATTTATTATTTTTTAAAAATTATTTTTAAATAGATCAATTTTATTATTCTATTCATTTTGTTTTAAGTAAAGAATTTGAGTGAATTCAATAAAATCCACACTAATAAATATATTCAAGTGCGACTTCAAGTCATTAAAATAATTATATGCTTAATTTTATTCTCCATTGAACAAAATTAGTATTTATATCTTGTTTCCTCATCAATTTTTATTTTGAATTGTAGACGTTATTGTTCTTTTAATAACTGTATTTTGAAGAAAAAAAAGGTGGGGATAGAGAAACAACTTTAAAAATGGGTAAAGATTTAATTTCACGAATATTTTTGTTAAAATAAACCTAAGCTACTTGTATTAAAGAAATGGGTAAAGACCAAACATGATAAGTTTTTGAATACTTAAAGGACTACAATCGGTAACTTTATAAGGGACTAAAATCGGTAAATTTATAGTTAAGGGACCAAAGCTGACAAGTTTTTAAATAGTTAAAGGACTATATATGTTAAGTGTATAGTTTAGAGATTATACTCCTATAGCTAAGAGACTATTTATGTCATTTTTCCCTTTTAGCCGGATGTAACTTGTGAACTGATGTGTATGGTTTATTGGTTTATCACCTTGTTTCTAAGTATTTTTCAATATTTTTTTGTGTCAAATCATAACGGTTAATAGGGCAAGGTTTGTCAAGCGATATTCCTTTATTGGAAATTTACATTCTATATATAGGTTAAAATTTGATTTAATAAATATACATAAATTTTAACACCCCTTGATACAAGTTCAAAGTTTAGTGTAGTGGTTAAGGGGTTCCAAAAATAACTTAAAATTGTGTGTTATATCTTTTATAACAACTCTTATAGACTTTTATTTTATATCTTGGGCACTCCTTAATAAAAATTTTGACTCCATTATTATTATTAATTACTAATACATACCATTTTTTTTTTGAAAAATATATCCAATACTAAAATAATTAGTAATGATTTCATCCATACTGAAATAACTAGTAACGCTTTTGGCTCCCTCTATCGTCTATACGGAAATACTCCTTTCATTTCTATTCATATGTCACGGTTTTATTGAATTTTGAGTACATTAAAAAGCTAAATAAATTTACTCTTTTATCATTATTTAACATTTTTTCAAGTCATTTTTCAACCCATAGATATGAATTATTAAATAGATATATACTAGTTGACTAGTTGTAGGACTATAAATGATGCGTCTTGGAAAAGAAAAAATGAGAAGAAAATGGACGCCAGCACTTCCGTAGCGATTATAAATTGGTTGGTAGTTTCTTTCTAACGTGTAAAAATAATTAATGTGTAGGTGGGGAGGGGGCAGCTAGGCGTTAATTAGTTTATACAATTGCATATTCATTTTTGAGTTTAACTTAATTTAATTTACTAACGTTTTTCACTTTGAAAAATAAAGTTTCTCTACCTATCGTGAGGTGTGTGGAGAGAGCGAAAATGAAGGATTAAATTTATATTTTATAAACTATACGCAGTCCTAGGCGAAGCTATCAACGCGATAATTCTTCATTGGAAAATTACATTCTAGGTTGGAAAATTATTATTTTTTATTTACTTTTAGTTGATATAATTTTTCTTTTTAGAATAAAACTATAAGAATTTTGATCAATATTTTATGATTTATTTTTTCATCATATTGATATGGAAAAAATATAATTTATAGTACTTTTCGTAATTTTTAAAAAATTCAATTTTTTTATTCAAAATTAAATTTTTAACTTTGAAAACTAATTGAATTGACTTTTGAAAAATGAAATATAACAATAAAGAATAAAGGAGAGTATTAAAACAAGCATCCACTGGACTTAAGTCGTACCTCACGTAAATTTTCCCAAATAAATATGGCCAATCAATGTGCATTTATTTGTTAATCGTAAATAAAAGTTTACATGAATTAACACTTGTATTAAAAAAAAAATACTAATATTAGTTCCAACACAATCAAGTTGGGGGCAAAACTTCTACGACTAAGGAACTGCAAGATTTAGAAAATATAGCTTTGTGTTTTAGTGAAAAGGGCACAAACAAACAATGTAATATAGATATATTATAAATATTTTAAAATGTATTAGGCTTAGTTGATAACAAATAGACACAATGTATTATCAATGTGTGATTTAATAAGAAAAAAACTACTTGTATGAGTAAGTTTTTTAACATAATAATTATTCATATTAGCTATATTTTTTTATTTATCATTCTTTTTATCTTTATTTATTTGTTAAATTTTAATTCGACACATAAATTAAAAAATAATAATCGATACAGTGTGTATACCATATTTTCCTTATCCAATTCCAAACATATTTATTTACTAAATTTTCCAAAGACAATAAATTGAGAATATAATTAAAAAAAATTTGTACTTCCTTAATTTTTCAAAAATGACAAAAAAGAGAAATCAAATAATGAAATTTTGACAAGTAAATAGGGACGAAGAGAGTATCATTGATAGCAATACAATGATAAATATGCTATGTATTAAAAGTAAATATGCATGTAATATAAATATATTAGAAGTATCTCAAAACGTATTATGCTTGTTTTGTAAAAAATAAATACAATTTACTATAAGTGTATTAAAATGTATGACAAGTATTTTTGATGAATAAAACTTGTATCATACGTGTTTTGTTTGGTAAAGTGTCTTAGAAAAAATAATGCATGTTTAAGCCTTACGTATTAATAGTACCTTGTCTGGTATTCTTTTTCAACCTATGTATAACTAATGACACTCTATTGTGTATTAAGGTGTGCATTGCTAATACCATAGATTTTTAGGTATTAGCAATGCAATAGTTTTAATGCATGGCTTAAGTCATATTCAGCACCCTAAAGTTGACCGCATATTTCACTTGAACACCTGAATTGAGATTTGTACCTATTATTAAACACCTCTAGTAGTTTAAATTGATACCACTTAAGCACGTTTTGCCTACATGGCACTTTAAATGTGTCACGGCAAATGAGCGCGTGAAAACATATCTTTAGACATTTTAATTTTTTTTTTTAAAAAAATAAAATCTCTTTCTTCTTCCTTAAGAAGGTTACAGTCACTTTCTCCGGCAGCCACCATTGCTGCCGCCACCATACACCTTCTTCTTCATACATTCGTTTCTCCCTCCTCATTTAAGTCGTTGTCACTATCATCTCCGCCATTAACGTCGCTGCTCAGTCATTTTTTTTCTTCAAATTTATATGCTTGGTCGTGTTTTTTCTTCAGTTTTAGAATGAATTGGTTGTGTTTTTTTTCTTCAAATCTTGGACTAAATTATTTTTTATGGATTTGTGAAAGAAAGCAAGGTTACAACGCCATTAACGTCGCCGCTCAATCGTAATTTTATTTATTTTGAATCTCAATCTTCCAGGATTGATTTAAGTTAGAAGAGAAAATGATGGATTGTTTCCGATGGATGGCAGCATCGTGGTAAGGGAAGACTATTTGGTGGGTGGATGGTTGGGTTGTAAAGGGGTACCTAACAATTATTTTTTAAACTTTAAATTTTTTTTTTTTTAATAATATTTTTGACCCACATGACATATGTCATAATTTAATTTGTTGTTGTGCCATGTCATCGCGAGTGTATCTCACTCGCTTAATATTTGGGGCTAATTATTAATAAAATGTCAAATAGGTATCAATCTGAAGTACTAGAGGGGTTCAATAGGTACAGATTTTAGTTGAAGTGTCCATGTGAAATCTCTGGACAACTTTAAGTGGCCGCATATGACTTAAGCCTTTAATGCATAGATTAAAATGATAAAAGACCCAATTGTCCCTCAACTTTTTTTTTTTTGCATCTTTTCGACTATAAGAGGTGGAGGATATCTTTGTAAATAATTTTTTAATGCAACACATACTATTTTAAAGCATCTTTATCTGAAGCTTAATTAGAGATCAAAAGAATAGTAAAGAAGTTAGCAAACGAAAAGCCTTCAAAATTAAGGATAAACACTCTGACGATCGCAAAAATGTGTTGTGGTAAGAACTTGATATTACAACGATCTGCTTCCTCAACTCAATTAGCAGGACCTCTAGAGTCCACTTCTTCCCAACACTGTGTAAAAGGGATAGAGTAAAGACTACCTGTAAAGCAGAACTCGTGTAGCTTAACTTATCGATGCACTAGTACTTTGAATCATTAGTGCCCTTGAACACCTTCATCCTTTATTCATATCCAGATTGAAGCTCTTCCAAGATGAATCTATTCCTTCATCCCCCCCCTAGTAGAACAAAAAGTTATACTTACTGCAAAGGATGAAGCTATAAGATGGACCCTTGGTATATAACTTCTAGAAATTCCTCCAAAGGAATCATGAAATTCCAAATTCAAGAGAAAAGACAGTACCAACACATTCATGTAGAAAACCAGAGGAAATGATAATCCTCTTAAGACTATATGAAAAAGCTTCAACTTTTATTTACCTGAAAACTCGTATAGTCCTTTGGAGTGGACATAATTTTACTGTTTTTGGACGCTAGTATTGTGGACCGATATATCACTTGTAAAAGCAAATTCCGAAACCAGAGCAATATGATCACTTCCCCATTTCTGAATAGTAGCAAAACAAAGAAAGAAGAATATCTGTTCAACACATAATCACATGGCTAAAAGAAAAATCGTTAATGAAAAGTGCATCTAACAAATGTAAGAGTTGTAACAGAACAAGCCAATTCGACTGCATTGTAATAGAGTAATAAACTTTTTCCACTTCATGCTATCTATTAATGTAAAGTTCGTATGAATATCGGGCTCTATAAAAGAGAACGGGGCATTTGCAGATCTTATCCATGTTACAGCTAAAACTACTGGGAGCCCATACCCTTAGAAGTTTCATGTCTACCATGAAACTGATGGTTCATAGACAACTGAACTAATTCCAAGATGTACTTTTTTCCCTACAAACAATTGAGTCGTATGTCATGTGCTCAGGCATGCCAAGAAGAACTAAAGAAACAGCTCACGGATCATGTGTTTTTTACCATTGTAAGCAAGGTTTGGCACTTTTAACCCAGAAATGTTTGGTGTATGGATTATGCATTTTTTGCAATTGCATTGTTGGTTTTCATTTGATAGCTTGTACGGTTTTAAAAAACATGAAAAAACATCTACCAATGATTATTAGAAGATTGAAAATGACTGCTTTGCCAGAGCCACCAAAAATAATTTCCGTTCTTAGATGACTGCACCATTATAAAAATTAAAAACAAGAGAAATAAAAAATGCTACTTATAATACTTCAAAGGAGGTCAATCTAGCTTTTACTGACTATGGAGATGGACATGTTACTGGCTGCTAAAATTTTGCTCATGCTTTAAGTGATCTCGGTCTCAGCCCTTTAGAAATACCCACTTGCCTCTCAGAAGGATAAATGACCAGCCAATTAATTAATGTGAATTTCTTAAAGGTTTAAGTGCATAACTCGAATAATGTTTCTATAGTCTCTCTGTCTTCTTATTGTAAACAGCTCGTTTGGTTTGTCATATAAGAAAAAATAATTCCAACATAAAATTCAATATAACTAAATTATTTGGTTTCTGACATAAAATTCTGATTTATTAAAATGAATCATGTATAACAAATAGTACAGAATTTGGTTTCTGAAATAGACTTCTCCATTACTGATACTACAAAAATCTATGCAGGAATTTATGTATTACTTAATGCAGAATAGATGTGAAATAAGACTACTCATATCAGCAATCTAAATAAGAGCACCTAAATTGACAAATATCCTCAAAGCTATGATATGTATTATTCATACATTGAAATCCCCGCATAATTAATATCAGCCCAGTGTTATCATAACATTCTATAAAATTGTTACATATATTAAAATCCTTGCATAACTAGCCATCATCCAAATGACCCCCAAGTGTGAGTGTAGAATGTAAGAAGCGTTAATATCTTATGTTAGTTGTTATCCTGCATGATCTAAATTATGTTTGGCACTTAAAATACATCCGTTACTCATTGAATAGTGTCACGTCTCTTATGTTAAGTATTTTCCATATTACGTTTTATATGTTTGACAATTACAAATAGGTAAGTCTTGCTTCCGTCAAATTATCAAGTTATAAATACACCAGTTCTTTGTAATAATAATGCTGTTTGGGCCAACTAGTGTGCATCTTGCCACCAAATCAGGTATCTGATATTCCCATCATAACAGATACTGCGTAACTCTCTTACAAAGCTTAGACAGATGAAACGAAATAAACTGGCTTTTTTGCCTAAGCTAAGATCTGAACCTTAGTCTCCCATCCTTATCTTTCCAACTTCATTGATTGCTAGACTACACTGCCAAACAACTTTCCTCCTATTCACATGGTATTGAAGCATCTATTATCTAGATAGAGATCCAAATATCTTCCGCATAACAGAGAACGGCTTTATGCCACCCAACTTGCCAAAGTTTTCTTTTTTTCCCAGTTCTACAATTTTTGGCTTTATCTGGTGGAACCGAGAGGGTGCATAATATTAACAGTTACAAAAACATTGTTTGGCTTGATCAATAACATGAAACATGCTCAGGATATATGACCGCATGAATTAACTTGAGGGTGAGTGTTAGATATGTGTAACCGTGTAACTGTAAATAATTAGACCTAATGTAGTATAGTGTTGGTGACCACATCAAAAAGGGGAAAATCCATCTTGTCCATTGTTAAGCGTGGCCAAAAAAGGATTCAGGTGTAAGACATTTCTTTCCATATTCTTTTAATTCTTTCAAACCTTTCTTTTATTTCTTACAACCTCTAAGGATTTTTCTCCAGTTATGGATAACTTTCTTTTCTACATCTTCAAATTCAATATTATTTCCAAATTGAATAAGCATATTACCTCTTGATCAAAATGGAACTTACCTTTCTGAGGAACTTCAAAGTTTCCCTGTGATGTTCATGGCCATAGAAGCCTAGCCCTACTTTAGATGCAAAATTTATATTTAGCTAGACTTACATTTCTCACCAAAGTAAGTTACTCCAGTAATTTCAGCGGTCATATTTGGAATTGTTAATTTTAAAGGCAAAACCTTAAACATTGTCCACATTGGGCAAATGTCTTGCGCCGTGTTTGACACCTAAAGTTTAAGTGTTGAAATACTAATACTATCAAATCATGAATACATCTTTCTATTCTCATATCCTCACACTCTTTTCACTCAACAGTCTAATGAAACTTCCCTACCTGACAGGTTTAGGTTAACAAATGTGCATCTATCTTAACCTGGAAACTGTATCTGAGCTTCTCTCAAGTATATGACAGTAAGTCGATGATCATGAATTAATATTTCAAGGACTAAATCTGTACTGATGTGTCATAAAAGTTAAACTTACAGGCTATTCATAAGGCAGCAGGTACACAAGTGATAAAGAATTGCAGGAAGTTAAGTTGCATTTCATCTCTATCGCAAATTAAAATTACAGCACTAACTTTTGAAGGCCATTATATGAGAGGAGATCAAACAAATGTTTCCCCATGCATAATAAAAACAAAGTTCTGTGCAGAAAGGATGAATCAGCACTGTTGTTCCGTAAAGAAACTAGTCAGAGTTTCTTTTATATACCTTAGTAGGGAAACCTCTCACAAATTGCATGGCATTTTTTGGAATCGGAGCAAGCACCCTTGCAGTCTGAAGGCCTTCAGAACGCCTGAGTGTAATTTGAACAATAAGTATCTCATGTCATTCTTGATTTCTAACTGATAGAATACCAAAACCACTAACCACAGATTGTGGTTAGATTCTTTAGGTACCTTCATATCAAGAGCATTTAAAATATGCCGTGAAGAAAAAGGAAGGAGAAGCTAAGGAAGAACTCAAAAGATGCTCACCATATATAATCAACTGTACCCATGAAAAGCCTGTGATAGCTGGTCACCTCAGGTTCTCCTGTTGAATCTCTAGTTCCAGAAAAATCCTGCAACTGCCAATATGTGAATTGCAGAGTTAAAAGATGAGCTAGTAGTAACCAAATTACCAGCCAAGAGAAGAATATATTGTTCATATCTTCCGCATGATTGGAAAAAAGACAGACTAAAAGCTTCTTTTAATAAGAGCAACCTCTACTTCCCTATATGCACTTGTCAACTTCAGATTATGTTCCAATAGTTTGCAATCTGCATTGCCTGTAGCGGTTTCTATATCAATTGGCGTCCAAGCTGATGGATCATAAATCGAGTTCTCTCTGTCAACAACCTCAGAATCCAAATTAGGAGCATCATGTGCAATCTCATCACTTAAAGAACGCAACTCTAAGGAACCGTCACACTTCTTTACTGACTCATCCAATTCCTCAAGAGAAGTTGTTTGAAGTTGGTCAGAGTCTGATGGAAAGGAACCAGCTTCATCATGTAACTGAGACAAAAATGCTTCACGATTTTCAACCAAAAGTTCATCTTCTTTTGTGCCTTCAGAGACCACACTAAGTGACAAGTTGGCCATCTTTTCGTCCAACAAGACATCAAAACAAGTCTCTGTGTATGAGTTTTTAAGTTCACGTGATATTTTAGGGGAACTCTCTTTACCAATTGACGACACACTTTCCGAGCTTTCTGGAAGAGAAACTTCATGTACATCTGAAGAATCAGAAAATAGCCCCGTCGATGACACATCTGAACAATGGGGTATTATAGGCCTGTGAATGCTCAAAACATTTTCAGAACCAAAATCACCTACATTGGACTGCCCATCCTTAACTCTCTCTGAATCAATTCCTGAACGCACTTCTGCTACAAAATTTTTGTGAGAAGAGGTAGAAGTGGCATTAGGGTCGGCCTTGTTATATCCACTCTCAGAGTCCTTATCATATTCATCTTCTTGACAAGATTCTAATGAATTGGCTTCATGACTTGTACCTTCAACTAGAAAAATGAGCTTTCATCACAAGAACTACTTGGATTTTCTCTAGAAACAACAAAAGGAACTGAAATAGTTTGACCAAAACTGTCAGCTGCATTACCATGGATTACTCTAGGCAAATCAGCTGTACTTTCAGAGCATGAGATAACCATACAAGAAATTCCTGGCTCATATTCTACAGAACTCTGAGGCTGAGATAAGGTACATGCAGAAGATCCAGTTCCTGAATCTTTTTCTCGAGTATCGAATTTCTGTTCAGCTGATGCCATCTTATTGTCTTTTACCTCTCTCTCACTAGCCACTTCAGAGCTTTGAGAAGAGTTAACTGCATCCTGGTGTCTGTTGTATCAAAAGAGAAATCCAGTTTTAGAAACATCAAGGGTGGATCCAGAAAGTAATCAAAAATAGAAAAAATACAAGATCCTTGATAAAAAAATAGAAACCCAATTGCATTTTTGAATAGGCCCGTGCTTCAAGCTCAACATAAATATGTGATCAACAAATCAAAAGAAATGATAGATAGACAACACATAATGATCTTGTATTTTATTATCTTTTCACTGCAATCCCTATAAGCCAAACTCAAATCCTCAGAAATAATGGCCCCACTTTTGGTGAGTTATTTATCAAATAGAAGACAACATGTTAGGATTTTTAGAGAAGGATTGAGTCACAGGACTATGTAAGAAAATCTAAATCAATGGACTTCGACTATCCCTTGCCTTTGTTCGAATTCCTAGATCGACCTATTTTTGTATATAACTTTAGCTCATTGAAGGGAGACTGAAACCTTAGAGTTCAATGGAAGAGAGAACTCCAATCTTTTGCTTTTTACTGAAATATGACATACCAGTTTATTCATCAAAATCCCCTTTAAATAGGAGTCTTATCACATCAATAGGAAGTCTAATTCTTACGATTCCAAATTAGCATAACCTAATCATTATAAAACTATGTAACATAAACCCTATTCTAGAATAATAAATAAAGCTACTAAAATAATAATTAAATACTTAATTTAAGGGCTTCCCACGCATCCAAAACACAACATTAGAAATGATTAGATCAGAGAGAGAAGTAAATGTGAATCTTCCTTCATTTACAGAAAGAACATAAGATCCTTCCTTAATATAAAATATAGAAACTCAAAATACAATTTTTAATAGGTCCGTGCTTAAATCTCAACATGAATATGTGATCAACAAATCCAAAGAAAGGACCGGTGGACAGCCCATAATGATCTTGCATTTTATAATTCTTTTTCACTGCAATCCCTACAAGCCAAATTCAAATCCTCAGAAAAAATGGACACCGCATTTGGTAAGTTACTCCCTCCATCCCACTTTATATGTCATCTTTTTACCTTGCACTTGCATTAAGAGATGATGTAATTTTACCCTTCTTTGGAACTCAAGTTCTCAATCAATGAATATGAATTAATTTATTTTGATTATTTAATTTAATCAATGAACATAAATCATTTACTTAACTTTTCTAAGTTGGTCCAATGTATGTTTTCAATGCTAATAACTCACAAGGGTAAAAAAGGAACAATATGCTAATTTATGCATTGATTTAATGAAATGACAAGTATTATGGACCAACTATTTATAGAAAGAGATGACATATAAAATGGGACGGAGGGAGTATTTAGTAATAGACAAACTAGAAATGATTAGATCAGACAGAGAATGCAAGTAAAGCACATTGAGAATAAAATGACAGAAGGTGCTTGAGATAACTTGATATATTTAGTGAACTTCTGAATGAACCAGCCTATAGGTGTGATGGTACAATGATCCTTTGAGCCTTGAAGACCAAAAGGACAAGGCGAACCAAAATCATATGGAGCTAAATTTTCTAGAATGGCCCACAAACTCTCTAGAACACTACGAAAGCAAAGGATCCACATTAACAAAGGCGAAATGTTCAGTTTGTTTATTCAGTTGGAGCTTTCTCACACATGTTAATGTTTGACTTGTTTTTGGACTTTGTTAGCTCCTAAGCTCTAGAATAGACTTCATGTACTGGCGCTAAAAAATATTTTTTTTTTGTCTTTTCTGTAATGGAGCTGAGAGGTTTACAACTATGATAATATGACATCTCCCTACAATGTTAATCTCTTAGTTTAGCCAAAGAAAAAACAAAGAATCCATATTAGCAATACCAACTATAGGGATTAATCATTAGTTGTTACACTTGCATGAAGTCCAGAGTTTGTCAAAAGTCTTTCTAATTTGATTAAATACCTGTATGCCAGTGTAGCAATAAGAGTGAATTTTAGAACCTCTAGTTTTAAAAAGTCACTGATTTACATCAAAAATACATTATATACAAGTATTGAAATGTACTGGACCTAAATAGAGAAGAATGATATACAGGATGGATTAATATAGTCCACCCCAAATAGCTAGGGATTGGGGCGTAGTTGAGCAATGATATTGAAGTAGAAAACTTGTAGGATTATACATGAGCTGTTTCAAGGAATTCAGAAGAAAAGGTCAAGGAGGAAACAATGTAGTACAAAGTCTCCATGAATTTAACGTAATTTCTTTTAACAAGGTAAGAAGTCGTTACCTAGCACTAGCATTGAAGCTGTGCTTCACTGTATAAATTGTAGCTGATTCCTGTCCTGACACTTTATCCCGAGGCACTTCTGATAAGTCTAGCTGTGGGAAAAAAATATCCAAAATGCATTCCAAAGCACAAAATCATCATATCTTTAGAGAAGGCACAGAAGAAAAGGAGTGGGGGCAGCAACAAGAAAGAAAATATTATCTGAAGCTTACTCTTTCCTCGGCAAGATAGTTGTATAATGGACTCTGGTAAAGGAGAAGAAGAATAAGGAATTATTGCATGGATTCTGGGAAGTGTAAAAAGATGAACAGAACTATTGCACAACATAACATTCTCACATGCAAGTAAGAGTAGAATATATGCACTGATGGAAAAACATGTCATAAGCGCTTCGATGGGAATTATTGAACCCACCTTTGGTGTACTGTTAAAATCTCCACAAATTACAATAGGAGCATTGTCCCAAAGTTTTGAAACACCACCAGCCTTATCCAGAAGCACCCTAACCTGGTTGTCACAAAATTTATTTACACTAAACAGAAGAAGAGTTGAATCCAATCAAGTGGTATCTCCCTTGCATCTAAAAATGCTAAACTAAAGAAGTTGTGTCAATCATGAATTGAAAGCAAACCAAATTTATGAGTAAACAAACGAGACAGATCTGCCAAGTATGCTATACTAAATGAGGGAAGTAGGATGGAAACGGGGCGAGACAGGAGGGGGCACTTTCCTCTAATAAACAGAGGTTGTATTCACTTATCACAGAAACATGATAAATACTAGTTTCTCTTTAAATGCATTTTAGCACACAGGGAAATCAGTAAAGATACATATATGAGCAATGACTACAATCTAGCAGGTTGCTAATGTGTGAAGTAGAGTAAAGTGTGATTGGATAACTACCAAGTAAAGGATATACAAGTACTGGATAGCTGTTTCGAAATAAATTGCACACATTGATGAAAATTGAAAAGACAGTATTAATTGACAATAAGTACCTGTCCGAGCTTAATATCTCCCCTTTTAGGATTGAAAAGCACATGAGTATTACAAATTACAACCTTACTGGAGTGACCAGTGCTGCAAGTGCAATAATTTAGTTGGGGAAAAGGAAAAAAATAAGAAAGCCCTCAACAGATATTTGAATGATAAGGTACAAATCAAACATTCAAGAGTAAGTTGTTATACAGTGCAACTCTCAAAACAAAGAAGACCTACCTTGCTAAGGGAGCTGGTGAACTCTTATTTTGCTGACCAAGAGACTGTTAGCAATAGATGAACACAACATCAGAAAAGCAAGTTTTGAACTTGAAGATACCCACAGTAAAGCGATGAAATATTTAAGAAGAATTTACGCACCTCAAATACACATATCTGGGCAACATTATCCCGAAGCCCAAACTTTTTAAATTCAACAAATTCTTCATGCACCAATTTGAATCTAACATAAAAAATTTAAATTAAATTCAGACAAGATAATATCGTGGACCAGTAGTTAGATGTCATCACACGTACTGCATCTTGCAAAAAATATACGCCAAAAGGTTAAAATTAAGATGATAACACAAATCATTGAATAGTGCATTGAGGATCTGAGAGTAATCAAGCAAAAGTAATTAATATGCCAGAATCGCGGATCTCTAGACATACAGCCAAATTATATTTGCCAAAGGTCTAGAAATGACTACCAGCATGTTTAAATGACCGCGAGCATATCAAGCAAGTTCCAGCTTAGCTATAGTACAGAATTCACACCAATAGAAATGCACATTACCAGAGACACTACAAAAGTGGCAATGATGTAACATAAGACTGGATTCTGTGACACCAATGTTTACATTGAACAGACACATAGTTAAGAATCACTGAAGCTAGTAAGCACATCAAAGTAACTCATTGCTATGCAAATCAGTACAATATATCCAATAGCTTATATACAAGCTTTTCAAACAGCCAAAATCAGTGACTATGTTTTTACCAGAAATGATATATCATATATGGACCAGCAGTTGTCATTAGAAAACAACCATCACTGGCAATGAAGTACGACAAGAGTTTAACATTTGTCCATATAATATTAGGTGTAGAACTGCCAAAAGATACAAATCTGTGGAAACCAGGAAGCCAAAATACTAACAATATAAGAACTATAGGGACAAAATTTTGATATTCGTGGAAGTTCAAACGATGATGATCATAGCATAAGGCAAGTAAAATCTGACAAGTTAATCAAGGAAACAATATGCACTAAAATGTGATTGATTATGTTTGCTAATGCAGAAAGAATAACATTGATCATAGAATGAGGGAAGTAAATGTGATTAGTTTATCAAGGAAACAATACACACTAAAACATGATAGACTGAATGGCTGATTGTGTTTGCCGGTGCAGAAAGAAGTATTATGCTGTTAGCACTCCTCCATAAAGAACACTTTATCAATCCTTAATTCATTTATATATGGGCAACAGAGTGCTATAGGATTGCCAAGGAAGGACGACAAATTTTGAGGACTAACTATTAGAAAAATAGAGCCTGTAAGAACTGCATAAAATCCATAAAAGAGAAGCTAGATAAAAGCCACTGAAGAACAGACGTAACAGCTAAAAGTATCAAATATCTGCAAAGGCATGACTAGAACAAATGTACAAAACACTTGATCAATAAACAAAAAACATTTTAACTAAGGGCTTCCTCATGCAACAATTAAGTACCAGCATTGTCAATTTAGTCTATTCTTCCAATTTGAGGGTGCAAAGGAATAGAATTTTCTTGCCTTGATGCATGCCAAAATATTGCACATCCATCAGCTGGATCTCCGGTACGCCTCTACATCAAACATCAAATATAATCATGTTAATCAGCTAATCAATTCCACGTGGCACAAGAAAGTAGTACTATGAAACAAACGACTTGGAGTTTATCAAAGAAATCATACAATGGTTCTGATTTAGCGAATAAGAAACTCAAATTATAAACCCTCCTTGTTTTGAAACACACAGAGGATTATTCAGCATTCCAAAATCAAGTAAGAAAGCCTCCCTCCAAGATGTTTGCTAAATTTATTATTGGGTCCTCATTCCTCTACACATTGCACTTCACAACAAAATGTTGACTAATGATGTATATTATAATGTATGAAATTGGGAAAAATACAGATACAATTGGGTTTGGTTGGGCCCTCGCTCTGGTTCTGTTCCACAACATATTAATCAACAGTAAGTCCACCAACAAATAATCTGTAAAATTATTCAATATGTGATAAATAGCATGAAAGCATCAAAAACCTTCCAGATGCCACTGTATCCACGCAACTTCAACTCTGCCTCCAACTCCTGGAATCTGTCAACCTCCTGAAATGAGGAAACATCATACGCCTTACTATGAATTGTTACTTCTAGAAATTATATAAATAAACAATGAAACACAGACTTATAGGTTAGGAATGATAAATTGGGTTGGTGACTTGCATTACTTTACAAAAGAACTTTTCTTTCCTGGAAAGATGATTATAGAGGGGACAGGACAAGATTGATTATATTAAGCTTTGGTGAGAAGATAAAATATATGCGCACATACACACATATATTTTTCTTTAGAAAGGTAAGATTGTATTCTTCAGCATTAAGGGCATGCCGGCAACCTCCAAAAAGAAGTTATAAGACCAAAAGTCAATACAAGGAGAGTAACAATAATTACACAGATCCTAAGAAGTCTACTAACTGTTCAGTTCTTTCTATACCCTCTTCTTTACACAGAGAATACAAAGTGTTGATACACTTTCTTTGATTTTCTGCATTGTGTTAGAGATGATCTCAAAGCAACTATTCAAAGATTTGAAACCTGGAGAGATTGGTGATATATTCACATAGAGATTATGCATGATGATCAAGCAGCACTTCATAGTTTGTCACTCTTCACTTATCAAAGAGAAACTCTTAGGACACAATGCCACATAGTTTATATGATCGATGACTAGCTTGCATATATATTCACCAAATTCCTTGCTTGTACAAACTAGTCACACACACATACACACACACATATATATCTCCGTTGTATGCACCAGATTGAAGAGAAGTGTTACATATATTGTGCAAATAGACTAGGATTACATGAAACTTATAAGTTGCGTAACCCACAGAGTAATGCAACAATATATATTGAAGAGTGTGAACATAAAAGAATATCTTCAAAGATTCTCTCAATTGATAATTATCTGTACGCATCCTCCCAATTCTTTATCCCACGTTTCTTATTTCTCACTATATACATAACTCTCTCTTTTACACACACATATACACATATAGATGAAGATCAAATGGAGGAAAATATCTTCTTTTTTTTATAAATATAAAATCTCTTCGCCTTAACCATGGTTTTTAAATTTTCTGCGGGAGCCTACAGACATACATTTACAAACAAAATTATCAATTCACTGATACTACTGCACCTTTCATGCCAAACTGGAAGGGAGAACCAGTAAATATTAAAAATTTTAGAATATTTTTCAACACCCTCAATCATACAACATCAATCTATGCCTATTCCACAACGTCACTGTGATTAAGAGTGTAGAAGGTCAACATTAATTGAGAAAAGAATCATAACCTGAAGACACAATATATCAGCTGACCACCATCCAAGCTCAGAAAGGATACTTCTTTTACGCCATTCCCAGTCCAAAATATGTTGTGGTATGTGAAAATAAAGTTTTCTCTGATGATCATTAGCAAGGTAATCAGCTAGTATGTTGTATGATAAGACTGTAAATCGTTCTGCAAAATATAATGGCAAGTAAACCATTCATCAATTTGGTGAAGACCAATCTTAGCAGACTAAGACCAAAAACTATGACCTACACACAGCCAGACATCGAAAGTAAACAAGTATCTCAAAGATGAACAGCACGAGTCAAAAATATTTGGCCCTCTACAATCTTAAAATCATGACCACATTTCAGCTGAATTAGATGAATGAGTTTGTAATATATTAATGGAATGTTCCAAAACATAGTGGTATAACGGGAGCAAAGAAATGATTTGACCAACTTTTTTCTTTTCTAAGATGCAATTAAAAGGCATATTCCAGAAGGGAATAGCTTGAAAGGATATATTCCACAGTAACAAGCAAGAGGAACTTTTTAATGCCAAAATGAATGCTCCCGGTTCCCCTCCTACTAATGTGTCAGCAATAGGTGGTAAGTTGTCCCAGAGTCTTTACAATGGAACTCGCAAGAGAAAGCATCAAGTCAAGCAGCACCCGAGAAATCAGAGTGACCACATGGACTAAACTCTTGTAAGGCTATCACATTGATAAATGAGGCATTCACCTTATATACACTTTGATCCTTAGACTAACACCTTGTGAACACTTTACACCTTAAATAGTTCGCCCTGTTTACCCCGAGTTTTTTATTTTTATTATTACCATGGTGTCTAAGCCAACTTTCGTGCACCTTGACTAATTACAGGGATACCTGCAACAGGTATCAAGTAACTCTGTCCATAAAGGTTAAGACAGATGAGCTCCTAGATACTTCATATTTGGATTTTCGTTTAAGCATGTGATATTGTTTTATGCTATTTAACTAATAGCTACATGCTTGTCTTACTCAAGCAAATCTTCAAAGGAGACATGTGGAGAGCTGTAGCTCATGTTTTTTTAAAAGATTATTTTATAAATGAAAACCAGCATCAAGAGAATGTTGGTGATTAGAAGCAGTTACAAAAAATAAGCCTTACTGACTGTGAACAGAACTAATAAACTCGAGTAAGGCCTCTACATCCTTAACATCCAACCTAAGACTAATTACATTTTCGATTTTGTCTTCGAAAATTCTAGAGCTTCTTTCTCACCATATGATCCACCAAATTGTGGCAGGGATGGCATTACATAGCTTCAATTCAAAGCCACTCCTTCCTCCTATTGTCCATCCTTAAAGAAAAACTGAGACATCTCTTTGCATGACACGTGATTCCTTGTATAATGAAGAAGAGGTCCTACAATTGAGATGTGAATTTACATGGTAGACTCCTGACAAAGGAGAGACCAGTTGCGTGGGGAGTGTGGACAACATCAGCTATGACCTGTGTGATTATGGGAATGACAACACTGAGCACCTGTTCTTCAGCTGCTCCTACTCAACCCAAGTCTGGCAGAAAATCCTAAACTGGCAAGCTACAGGATGGGCAGAGGAGCAGAGTGGGATCAATTTCACTGCAGGTAAACTACCAGAAGCCGAAGAATCCAAAATTGCACTACCAGCTAGTGTATATTACATCTGGCAGGAGAGGAATCATAGGATCCTCCAGAAGAAAGCAGAAGCTGTTAAGTTCTAGTGAGCAAAACTGTTCAAAAGGTCCATATTAAAGATAGAATTGAGTCTGAACTGGGTGAAACATTGCAGGTGTTAGATCGGTACCCTAAGTGAATAGCCACTGTGATGTATGCAGGCTCTAACACTAGGTAGCTGGTTGGGCATATTATGATAGAATACTTGTTGATTACAGTTCTAGGAGATGTCCAGTTCTGTATTATTTCTTTTGCTTTGTAATTCTAACTTGGTAATAAACTCAGTATATTTACCAAAAAAAAAAAAACTACGTCATGAAAATTTTCTGTCTAGAAAAGGCTGAAACAACTATTGTGACATTCTCATCTATTCTAGTAAGATTTTATCCTCTCCATCTGTGAACTTGATGCCGCTAGGGCTTTCAAGTGGAAAAAGATTGAGGGACTTGTGACTCAGGTCACAAGTACCATGTGAACTAAGCCTTGTATTTAAGTCGAGAAGGGTAGAGGGACAAGACACATTATCACCAACTTCAAAAGGCTCCAGTTGATCCTAACAGATTTCTCGATCATAAAAAATCCTCTTCCCTGAGACAGTCTTCCGGATTTCATTCAGCTTCCAAAATCATTACCTAAACTGAAAGTTTTAGTATTACTATTACCCTACCTGACTCACAACACACTAGTCTTACCCTTCTTCAACTACGGTGGTTATTGCAAAGTTAGACCTCCTTTGTAATCCCTATCAAAGGCAGCATTTAGTTTTCTCCTTATTTATCACACATTATCAAATGAGCTACCAAAAACCATGAAGTTTGGATTCCTGATCTAGGACAGTATATCAGATTCGGGTAATTCAAAAAAATGCACTGCTTTTTTTGGGAGGAGCAAACTGGGAATGATGTTTCCGCTTCCTCTCTTTCTTTTGTTTACCTCCCCTTCTTTCCATTCTCTTCTACAAGAGTATCTTCAAGTTCAGTAAGCATTTAATGTGTTTTAGAGTATCCAAAGTAAATATTTATACCTATGTTAGACCATTTGACACGATCACATTTAGATTAGAACAACATAATACAGTTTTGTCGCAATTCGCCTAGCATAACTGGCACTGCAACTCTTCTCCACACCATTTGCATATGAACACTTCATATGAAACAAGTAGGTCCTACTTTGTTTGATTATAAAGAATAATCAACCTAGAATACCTATATATATCCTCTCATATGGTACTTCACTTTTCTCTACCACATCCTGTCGTCCAATAAGCCAGAGGAATATTTCTAAATTGACCATATTTTATGACTACAAACTCATATCACAAACATAATACACTATCCATATAGCGATTTGGATACATGGATTCTTAACTTCATGTATATCCTTCCCTCTAAGCAACAACAACAACAAAAAAAACCACAACAATGTCTCAATCTCAAGCAAGAAGATTCATTACCAATTGACTAGCTTTAAGTTGGTTGTCAACCTATCACATACACCCTTCTTTTATCCTGGCTTGGAATTGTACCAACAGTTGAATGTACCCAAACTGAGTAAACGCGACATTGAAAAGAGATGCAAATTTACCGCAATGAGGTGGAGGTCCAGGTCTAGCATACTCCCAATTCCGAAAGTTCAAAGCCTTGGGAGGCAATGGCCGTGGCCTGAACGGCTGATTCTCATAAAAATTGGGTCTATTAAACTTCTGATTCTCATAAAAATTCGGTCTATTGAGCTGCTGATTCTGATAATATTGTGGTCTTAGTGGCGGCTGAGGCACTGCTCTATTGAACTGCTGATTCTGATAAAACCCTGCTGGTGGTGGCATTGCTCTATAGGATTGCTGATTGGGATGAAACTGCTGACGTGGTTGAGGATGCGGCAATTGTCCATAATTATGATGAGTAGGATGAATATTTGGCGATGGTGCCCTAGGCCGGAAAGGTCGAAAATTAGGAGACGGGCGGAGATTTCGATTGGTTTCCCGAACAGAATTGAAGTGAGAGTCTCCAGTTACAATATCGTCTTCACTTCGTTCTCCGGAAGGACGGTGCGAAAAGTTTCTCCTGCCGCGTCCCCTGCCTCCTCGGAACTGTAAAGGAGAGTTACATCAACAGTTTAGAAATGGAAGTTAATGTGAATTCCGTATTTCAGGAAAGTATTCTTACTGATTGAGCAGATGACATGGTGGCGCTGGCGGCGGCAGACGCAGTATCGGTAAAAGCGGCGGCGGCAATAAGGTGGCGGGAAGGAGCAGAGTGCTTCATGAATATATGACCAGCAATTCAATTGTGTTACATTAGTGAAAACTGTAAATTGCAATTTTGGACAACTGCTTCCTTTGGAACGTCGCCGTTTAACTCCCTGGGTAACTGGTGATGAGATCACGACCGTACGATTTCCTTACAATGTCAATCCAACGGTTCGAAATTAATAGTCTTGTTGTATTAGCTGCAATTCAGAGCTTTTTCTTCAATTGATCATCGACGGAGCTTTGTGTGGAGAAGCATACACACGATGTCCTTTTGCTCCTCTGTGTCATCATCTCCACAGTCTCTGTCTATCTTCCCCAAATCTTTCCGATCTTCTAAGCCTTACAGCCCATGTATCTCTGCTTCTGCCGATGTACCTGACTTTCTCTCTGCTAATTGGTATCCATCTCTATCTCCCTCTCTTGTTTACTGTGTATACTTGGTCTTACGCGATATTGTGTGAAGGCAGAGATGTTGTTTTTGGGTTCTTATGTGTAAATGATGTAAAGTTATTTATTTTGCTATTGGATTAGTGAAAATCACAAATTTATTCAGTATTTTGGCTCTTCCCAGGGATTGAACTCGGGGTTTTTGACTTATTGAGTTGATACTTTTACAGTTTGTTTTATTTTCTGTAATTTTGGTCAATACTACGTTCACAAGAAATTGTGAACTGAAGTTGCCAGTTACCTTGGTTGATCTTGGGTAGTGTTGAGTTGCCATTAGTTGAGGTCAGCCACCACCACTGTAAATGAAATAATGATGTTTTCTGCTGCTTTCAAAAACTTCAATTCGTTAAACAGTTAAGTTAAAGCACAATTCTTCCACTGTCACGCTTACTGATGCAACAAGAACAAAGTCTCAATCTCAAACTAGTTGGGTTGGTTATCCGAATACATTATGTCCATTTTGCTTGTTTGGGACAATTCAACTCCAATCCCCAATAACTTATCCTTCGAAATAAACAGAGAGTTTTATAGAACTGGAGGCTCTTTAGCTCTTACATTTCTGTACTGATGTACAGATCTCTCACTGAACAAAGACTCTGGTAGACACTGTATCTTATATAAGTGTACCAACAAGCTAGGCCTTGATTCCAAAGTTGATATCGCCTATATGTATCCGTTGCTTCTATCATGCTTTGTTTAGCTAAGTAAGTTCACGTATATTCCCAGAGATTGGGCAAAGTGTGTGAAAATTATTTGTGATAAACCGTGAAACTTGAGGTAAAAATCTTTGTTGCATACCATGTTGAATTATATGACCACCTCATCTAAAAGCTTAAATAATTGGCGATATTTCACTTTTAATTACTTGCATCTTTAATAATCCATTATTGCGAAATTCAATTAAACTATTTGCAACTATGCATTATCTGCTGCAGGCTTGAATCTCGTAGGAAAAAGCCATTTGGTCCAAGATTATGTGTAAGTTTCTAACACTCATGGATTTTAGGAGGTTTCTACACTTACTTATGTATCAATTTACTTTATGGCTTTGCAATAGTTTAGTGCAGAAGAAGCAGTTCAAAACCAGCTTGATGCTTTGAAGTACAATGACCAACCTCATCACGATTATGGAGTTGAAGTCATGTACAGAGTAATTTCGGGAACTCTTTTTCTCTTTGAGTATGATGGTTCATAACAAGCTGAAGCTGGCTGTTTGGTAATCTTTAACTAACCTCTCGTGATAGTTTGCTGGATTTGATCCTTTTCAAAGGTCTACCTACTTCGGACGCTTTTTTGACTTGGGTCAGGTTAGTAATCATTACCAAAATATTAATTTGGTTGTTCTATTTTTTGACCTTTTTTGTTTTAATTTTCTCCTTAATCGTTAATTTTTGCTTTATATTGGCTCAATCGCCATGACTGCTCAAAGAGTTAGCTGCCTGTTAAATCTATGCTCTTTAGGTCAAGGCACTTGAACATAATTCCTGCACCAGAGGCGGCAACTAAAAGAAGCTTGTAGTCATTCTATGAATTAACGAAAAGACAACATTTACTAATACCTATCTTTACTTGGTATGTCTACTGTCTATTGTGCAGTTTGAACGATTCAGGCGAATATTTCATCATTCAACTTATAGGGTATTACTTGGCCATCAGGAGAGGGAGATTTTGAGCAGTTTGCATGTAAATGAGGTTTGTCAGGTTTTACATGTTGCTAAGTGCTAACAAATGTTTAAGGGATATGCAAGGATAAGCTAAAGAATTGTCTAACTTCCACTATGCTTATGTAGACTCTGTATAAGCAGCGTGTTTGGGTCCGTGGCACTCGACCTGAGGAAGAAGAAATTTTCCAATTTACCATGGTTCAGGTTTGTTCTTTATTGCTCACCTCCCTGTTGAAGCATATTTGAATCGATATTTCTTTAACTGTGTTTCCCTTTGATTTTTCATTTCAAATGTTACTATTAAAATATGCTTACTGTGGAAATTAGACTATTGAGAGAGTAAGATTGAGTCTGTTATGTAGTATAGAATTCTCCATCTATGTTTATAATTACTTTCAACTTGTTCAAGATAGTAAACACTTCTATAGTTTGTTTGTATTTATATTGGACCAAACAAATTTAAGAAAGAATGAGACGCTGCAATAGAAGTTCTTAAACTATAGAACAACTCTTTTGCTTGTGGTGAGTGTTGTTATTTGAATCTAGTTTATTCACACAGGAAGTAGCAAGTATTGCAACTCCTTTTGTACTAGCTTTTTTGGCGCTTCTGACTTTCGTTAAGCTGTTAGATATAGTTTACTGATCTGCTCTTTGACTAGATTTTTTATATGTATAAATTTTAGTAATTCAACCATTCCTATCTTAACGAAAGAAGATTTCTTTTCCTGCTTATATTTTGAGAAAAGTGAAAATGGAGATTGATCTTTGTTATTTAGGCAAGACACCTTTTGCTCGAATCCTTCCCTCCAAAATTCTACATCTTCCTGTAGCTTAGCTTGCAATTTGTAGCCTCCAAAATGCATTGGCCTCAATGATTCATCTTGTGTCAACAACTTAATAAAGAAGGAATTATCTTGCAATTCCTTCTGTAAGACAGAAACTCAGGATCAACCTTCCATTGCATCTCCCTATCAGTAACTGTTGAATTTCCACATCTTCACGGAGCCCCACTTGTGTTGGACAAATTTGGAACCTAGTTAATATTCCACCATATCAGGGTTAAGCTAGATTTGTACATTAACTAAGTTGTCAGGTAACCGTCCTCGAGATTCCTGACTATCTGTGCGAAGTGTCATGACCCGCCATTTCACTGCTCAAATTCGGCATCCGAATAAGGGGGAAAATTTAGAGTTGTTGTGAGATTAGTAGAACACTCTAGAATTCTCTAGATATTTTCAAGAAGGCTATAAAATTCCCTAGAATTTTGTAGAGAATTCTATATTAGGACTAAAGTGTAAATATTGTAGGGACTTGTAATTATTATTTACACTAGTCCTAATGTAGAATTCTCTACAAAATTCTAGAGAATTCTATAACCTTGTTGAAAATATTTAGGGAGTTCTAGAGTGTTCTACTGATCTCCCCACAACTACTTTAGATTCTTCTCCCTTATCTGGATGCCGAATTTAAGCAGTAAAGTGGCAGGTCATGACAATCAATGTGACTCTTCTTGAAAATATCTAGGGAGTTATAGAGTGTTCTACCAATCTCCCCTCAACTATTCTTGATTCTTCTCCCTTGTCTGGATGCCGAATTTAAGCAGTAAAGTGACAGGTTATGACAGTCAACGTGGCTCTGATACGAGCTTTGGAAAAAAAAAGACTTTGTATTGCTTGTGGAAGATTGCTTATAACTTTGTTGGATGAATTTGCAAATGAAAAGCCCTCTATTTATACTACGTCTGAGGGGCCTAGGTGTAAATAATAATTACTTTACAAGTCCCTACAATATTTACACTTTAGTCTTAATCTAGAATTCTCTACAAGTTCTAGAAAATTCTAGTCTTCTTGAAAATATCTAGGGAGTTCTAGTCCACAACTCTAGATTTTTTTTCCTTATCCGGATGCCAAATTTGAGCAGTGAAGTGGCGGGTCATGACAGAAGTCTCTATAGAGTTAACAGGTTTCAAGATCATCACAAAATTCATTCTACATTAACATGAGGGCAAAAAGATACAGATCAGATTAAAATCTTCAGTTTTCAAAGTAGTCCATCAGAAAACTTTCTATTTCTTTTCCTTCCACAGACACCAACCAGATACATGCTGGTATTGTGATCCATGTGGTCTTCATTGCTTTTCATAGCCCTCTTCTGCTCCAGCACCTTAGGAAATTTGAGGTAGGTCTTTTCATGACCAATTCAGTGCCAAGATACTTTAAAATATAAACCTGTATTGCAACAGAACAATGCAACTGTCTGTGTTCTTTATTCCCACATATATTTATTCTTAGTTGGCATGATGCTTTAGGTTGGTTGTGTGCAACTATTCTTAGTTGAATGTCACATACAGGGAATTTGGAAGCAGTCATACTAAATTACGGGAACATTAAATCAGACCCATGTCATCTACACTTGACATTTCCATTATCTGTTTCTAGGATTTTCATTTTTCTTTTCCCTGTTTTCACTTAGCAAGAAGATGATAACAGACATATGGTTTGTAATTTTACAGCGTGTTGGCGGGTCTTGGGATGGCTACTGGCTGACAGAATCTGTGCTTCACGATGGCGATACTTTCTCTGGTGGTGTGGCTTACTGAACTAGTATCCACAGTAGCTTGGAAATCAATGTGGTTTCATTATAACTTCACTGCTGTGAGTACGAGTAATATACAGTATAATTATAGTTCAGTTGCTTACCATCTTCGTTGTATCAAGAAAAGACTGATCAATCATGTATATAGAAACTTGTACATTTTATAGAATGTAACAAGCAAATATTTATTCTGATAATGCATCAAACATCAGTATTTCGCCAGTTTTTGTGCTTTTATTAGTCATTGACGACAGGAATAGACGTATCACATATCAGCATTCATTTCTTCCTTCTCACCATGATGACATTTCCATCCCAGATCAGCTTTCGATACAACTAATCTACAATACCTGATAGCAGTCAAAGGATATCTCTTAAGCCAATTGTTACCTATTGTCGGATCAATCACGACTTAAACAATAACAGAATTCTGTCTCACCATGAACTCTCCTACATCTTTAACCGTTAAAAACCACTTGCTGAACATTAAGATCAAGCCAAAATCAGTTCAAAAATTGTGGAATACTACCCCATAAATAACAAAAACTAGAACCAGAAGTTTCAGAACCTCAAAACTATGTCAAGGCTCATTTCTTTGTTTGAGAGATAAACTTGGTTAGGACATAACAGTCTGGTGGGGTAATGTTTATGTAATAGTTTTTGATGGTATCAGTGACCTCAAAGCCAAATTTCTTATAGAAGTTGATGGCATCTTCATTACTTGTCTGCACATGCAAGTAAATCTCTCTGCTATTCTGCTTTGTACTAAGATCAAGAACATGATTTAACAGCTTTGTACCTGCACAGTAAAAAGAAACATGATGAATACACAAGAAGCAGTTTTATTATAATGAGCTATCTGGAGAAAGTGGACCTCAATTGGATTCCCTGTAGCTACTCATCTTCAACAGAAGAATCCAACATTTTGTCACAAATCTTAAAGATTTCGGAGCCTTTAGACAGATCTCAAAGATCACCAGAAAAGATACTGACTAAGAAAGGATCAAGAGAAAAGATGTACTGAAAGTTGGGGGCTCCATCAATACATAAATGTTGTGGGGTAAAAATGAAACAAACAGAGGAAAGTTTAATGTTAATATTCACCCTGAAGATAAGTTGATCACTTACCAATACCTAGACCACGATATGGAGCTAAAACACCCAAAGTCATTATATAAACACAAACAGCTCCATCTTCCTTCTTCTCAAGTCGACACGCAATTGAACCGACACAAATGTCACTATAATATGCTGCAGGCAAAAGAACTAAACCAGATAAAACTTTTGAAATTTCCAGCAGTCAACATTGGAGAAATCGCCAGCTAGACATACATTTGTTAAAATACTATCAAGGAGGATAAAGAGGCAAGAGCAGTAAGTGCAGCAAAAGTTTTTACATCAGTAGCCCAGAAAGTAAATGAACTCCCACTGTGTCTCCCTGACCTATTCCGGTGGAGCCTCTATGAAATCTATCATACTTCCATCAATCATTCTTATCTTCCTGAATGCTATGGGGAACCCCCAGGCCCCACCCCACCTCACCTCTTTCACGCACATACGCTTATATAAACAATTGACACATCAATACCTACTTGCAGCAATATTATCAAGTTGAACTTTTCCAAAAGATATAGTACGTTCACCAAATATCCCTACTATCCTTTTTTTTAATGACAAGGGAAACCCGCATAGGGGCTTAATATCAATGATGCCCAATACTCAATAGGGGCTGAAAAACCGAAAAAAAAAATTTGAATTGAATATTGAAATAGTCACGGCCAGATGTGTTGACTGCATTCTGTAAAAACCACAACGAGGAAAAACATATCTTTAACTAGCTGTTGTTTCAACTTCCTCAAAAAAAATTGTTCCAAATGAACAGCAGATAGTGCTTCAAGCAACAATAATTACTTATTTATGTTATTATATTCAGTCCAACGATATAAGGTGGATAACTGCTAATGGAGAGTATACATTCTTTTTTCCTTTAAATTTCCATGGGGAGAAATAAATTTCCATGGGAGTTGAGAGGAACCATTTTCAGTGGACCTTTTAAGTAGCTTAAACAGTTGCATAAAAATTGTGAGGGCTTTTGCCTTAGCAGTAAGATCTAATGCTCTTGAGTTGTCGAGTTATTGTCTCGGTCTGTAAAAGTTCCGTTTAACTAGGTTTTATACAAGCTTTGGTACTGAAAGTTCACAGAACACATTTTTTAATGGAAAAAAAGGATTGGCAATTGCCACTGATCTCCAATTAGACACCCATATATGCACAGAGGCCAGAGCTCTGTTACTGGTCGCCAACTCTACGAATTCTTACCCAAACACCTAGAAATATGTAAATCTACTTATGTGGCAATTATATAATTGATCTGGACAAAGCGCGTGATACACATGACTTTCAGAAGCGTGAAATCTAAAATTAAACAATAAACAGTTTTAAATAAAAGACCTCTTTTATGCTTCTATTCTCGCTTTTTCTCTTTTTCTCATCTTTCTTTCCCTTGTTCCAATAATACCATTGGAAAGAGCTTCACCATTCAGGCCCACTCCTTGTTCAGACTACCTTCTCGCCATCTTCACAATGCATTGCTCTCTCTTACCCGCTCTCTCACACCGAACAAGTTTTTCTTCACTACATTCCCTGGAATTCTTTCTTCCCTAAGAAACTCATGTCTCACACTGCAATAAATAAATAACTCAAACAACAAATAGCCTAGCTATATACAAGAAAAGAGAAAATAAGCATTGGATACTCAAACCTCAAATTACTCAGTCATATGAGAGTCATGGCTCCAAATATGTTGTTGGTGTGAAGCTAGGTTCAGTACAGGCAGAATATGCCATTAGCCATAATGCGACTGAGGCAATACTTTTCTGTTCCGGAAAGAGGTTCTAATTCAAATTCCTAGGTGATCAGTAAATTTTAAGCAACTATTCAGATAATTTGAGGTTGAGTTTCAACGAACTTTTGGATACTGTAGAAACCGGCTATAATTCCTGTTGAGAGCCTTTTTAAATATGAACATCCATACTGTAATAAAATTGTGCCTATAAAAATTGAAATCTTATTGTAAAACCTATTCCAAAATATATAAGGGAAAACCTAAGTGGGTATGGAGGGAATACTTCCCATGTTCATTTCTGGGTGGGTTTTGAGGAAGATGGAAATGAATAACGGGTCTTTTATGGTAATTATTGTGTAAATGAGATGACTGGGAAGGGAGGCTTGAGTTATTTGTTGTATGTGTGTAAGCAAGTGAAGGAGGTGAGAGTTTGTTGGGTTTCAGATAAGTCTAAATTTATGAGATTGCAACAATTTGATGGTGCAGACCTATGTCAGATCTCAACCCAAGATAAACTAGCAAAGAAGAAGAGAAGACTAGAGTACCAGTTATGAAAAATCAAGCAGCCCTTAAGGATGTGACATCATAAATGGTTCCCATTTTTCTAAATCCTTTGGAGTTAACTTCATTCAAATATGCCAGAGGGTTAATCACGTAATGCAGCTAAGACTCCAATTCTGGTCACCTCCTTTGTCCCTCTGAGAGTCCTCTAACCACTTAAACCTAAACTTATGCAGGGTAAAACTCCTTACTACAAGCTGCAGTTTCATTCTTTTTCATGGAACTAGTCTTGAGTTGTACCGCTGCACACACTCTTCATTTGGCATCTTCCTTTGCTATCCCTTTGTCCGACCTTCAACATGCTTGTGAAACAGTGCAGACAAATAGGTTTACCTTCTATAGTATCTATTACTAAAATAATGGCATAGTGTTGGAAACTGGTGTCAAAATAACCCAGAGTGAAAACGAACCTAGCTTGGTGAAATCAGCAGAGGCGAGCGCATCAGAGTAGTATTTATCATTGTAACGAATTGGGAATAGTGCAGTGTTAATCTTCTTCAGTTGCATCATGTTCTTGTCCCTTACATTGTCCAAGGAGATTAACATTTCACGCCCCGCACCCATCGTCTGTTGAGAGATTATTAGACACTGTAAATGGCTCAAAAGGGTTGCGGTAAGATTTGGTTGGAGCCTGACTTATAATGGTTCATCACATTGCTACATATCCTTTTGGATGGACCTAATCATCTGTGTAGAGGCTCCAAAATCATACTTATAAAGCTTTTTCTATTTGTACCTCTTTAGAGTAGTGACACGTTTACACACCAAAAAAAAATGTAAATTCGAAGTATAAATTTTAAAATTTGACATATTTATAAACGGAATCCATTCTAATGAATAATATATCAACATTATTGAAATGCCAAGAGGAGGTTATAAATTTTGAGTTATTTAGAGAAAGATTTGACCTTTTGTCCATTGAAATCCTCAAAATTTGACCTACCACAAATGCAAATTGTTCCAAGTGAATAATATATCAAAAGGCTTGAAATGCCGAAAGTAGCTTATACCTAAAATTTAAGACTATTTAGAGGAGATTCAAATTGGTTAGGATTAAAAAAATCAATTTGCTATGAAAGATGAATGATTGGAATGTATAAATATTAGAGAAAATGATCAAAAGTCTTCCTAACTATATTTAGTTTTTTAATTACATGCTTTAATTTTACTAAAATTTTATCACCCTCGAAGTGTTTAAAACTGAAATTAATATCTCTCTGAATACTTATCTGGCAAAGAGAGAGTGAATACAAAAAAAAATTATTAAAACTTTATTTTATTATCTCTTTTAAAAAAAATATTTGACAACTACGATCAACTTTGAGAGACACTGTTTAATCATGTATATCTACTCTTTGTAAATAAATAAATTTTTCTATGTATCTCCAAAATCATTGAGGTTATTGACATATTTCCACCATGTTTCTATCACATTCCTCCTTTTCCAAATTTGCCAAGTTATAAAAGCAGGAAGTGCCATTTGGCTTAAATTTGGGATTTCCACCAATCATATGTACTCTCTTCCTTCCTTGGGTATTGCATATGTGGTTGCATGTATCCTCATTGAAATTACTTTCTAGAACATTTTATGAACATTATTCTGGTAACTTTTCACCTTTATAATCTTCTTCATTGTGTTCATGTTTATAAATAATATTTTATATTTATCTATGTTATACTATAAATAGATGTATAAGAATTCATATTATAGACACTTGAAAATTTGGTGAACACTTGAATATTTGAAAGAATAAAAAATGCTCTTATCTCTTGCTTTCTATTTCTATTATCATCTTCTATATTTCTTGTCTTATTTTTCTTTTATTTTTACAACTTTTTTATAATAGTGGACAATAATTTGAGAGTTGATTATGACTTGTAAGGAAACATATTTTGAAACCAGGTTATAGTAACGTAATATTATCAAAATTGGTCATTAATGAAAAATGTGATGTTATGGAAATTTTAGGAGTTTTTTTTCCCTCATAAGGAAAAATAATTTTGGGAATGAGTAGTTGTTATGTCTGTGATTTTATTTTTTCCGAATGAAAAATCACTTTAAAATATCTAAATACTTAAAAATATTTGAAACAAAATTATCACTAATTAATACTAGAGAAATCGAGAAAAATTTACTTTTAATGATTCTAACAGAAATAATCTTTAAAAAATTAAAGAACGGATAAGGGTTTCTATTAATATTTGATCAATAAGGTTTTAAGCACTTGAAACATCCACTAACATGCGATTATTCTAAGAGTTAGCTAAAACCTATTTAACTAAATTAATTGAGGGACTTCTTAAATTTTATAAGTGAAAAATAAAAAGTTCTTTTTGGACATATACTTGAAAAGAAAAGCTCTTTTTGAGTTGCTTGAAAAAACAGTTCTTTTTTAGGTGATTTGAAGGATGATAGAAAATTATTTCAAATTTATTTATTTACTTGTTTGATTTCAAGTGAATCAAATTATAACTTCAAGAGAAAAATCTCTATCTGTTTCTATTCTTCTTAAAATCTTAGAACTAAATGATTAGTCTAATAATTCTCAATTATGGATTTTTAAGAACCCTTTCAATAAGTACTAAGGGAATGTAATAAAATTCCCCCGAGTTATTCTAAGGAAACTTTCATATATAACTATTCAAAATAGTTTAATTAATCTTCATAGCTATAGTTTGATAATTACAATTCGTAGCAACATGTTATGGGGAGGAGATAGGCGAGTGAGACTGGGAGAGAGAGGAGAGAGGCGACAGAGAGGGCAAAAAGTGGGAGAGAGGTGAATTGTATATGTATATCGGTTAGATAATTATATATTATACATATGTATTTGTATTTATGGCTAGTGAGATTGGGAGAGGGAGGAGAGAGGCGAGCAAGATTGGGAGAGGGAGGAGAAAGACGAGCGAGATTAGGAGAGAGGCGAATGAGAGAGGGCAAAGAGTGGGAGAGAGGTGAATTGTATATGTATATCGGTTAGATAATTGTATGTTATACATATGCATTTGTATATATGACAAGCGAGATACTGAGAGAGGAGAGAGGCGAGCGAGATTGGGAGAGGGAGGAGAGAAAGGAGGGAGAGAGGGCAGAGAGTGGAGAGAGGTGAATTTGTATATATATATCGATTAGATAATTGTATATTATACATATGTATTTGTATATTCTGGCGAATTATACATATACAAATGTGACTAATTATACAAACTAAAAGTCAGCCCACGTAATTAATATATAATATTAGTCATGAGTAGTAATTATAACAAACTATAGCTATAATAAATAATTAAATGGTATAAAATTACTTAACGACGTAATTTTTCCTTGTTCTTCTAATAGCTTAGATTTACAAGAGTGCCAAGCGAGTTTAAGAAGTGAGAGATTTTAATTTGCAAGACACAATTTTGGTACCATTTGATAAAAAAATAATTCTATAATAACAATATAGCAAGAACCATGGAGATTCATTTAAGTTTAAGAGAGCCTTTAGCTCATGTTTCTGACTTCTCTCCTTTTTTTAGGACTATTGCTATGATCATTAAAGCGTGGAAATAAATGATTATTATTTTTTATGTTTTATTTTTCAAATCAATTTTTTAAATTTCAACTTAACAATATTTCTTCTGTTATTTAGGAAATAAACTAAGAGTAGAAATTAATTTGTCCTAATTCATATTCAGAAAAGGTTTCCTTATTCTAATTCAATTTGATTAGTTAATATTCTAAATATGGTATCTTTGTCACTTATCCTAATTTGTTTAGAACTTAGCATTTATATGGGAATTGGTTATGTTAATTTCTTAGCATTATAAATAGGACCTGAGATTCAAGGACAGAGAACAAATAAACTTCAGTTTTTAAGGGTTTGGTAGAGTTAAGCATTCTTTCTTCTGTGGCTTTGTTAGAGTTCAGTTCCAGTGTATTAGTTTTACTTAAGCCATGGACCAATTGTACCTCTGCTCAAATTATTCCAGAAAGTCCTTCATTGGCAAGTTTTTTCCTAGTGTTAGACTACTAGTTCCCAGTGAATAGATAAATATTGTTTTTTTCAAATTGAAGAGGAATAACGTAACAACGTTTCGTTTGTTCTAATGGAAAGGTACTTGATAGTTAAGGAAGTTGGTAATGGTTCATTTGGGAATGTATGGAGAGCTTTGAATAAACAGAGTGGTGAAGTGGTTGCGATTAAGAAAATGAAGAAGAAGTATTATTCATGGAAAGAATGCATCAACTTGAGAGAAGTCAAGTCATTGAGGAGAATGAACCATCCAAATGTAGTTAAGCTCAAGGAAGTGATTAACGAGAATGACATATTATACTTTGTGTTTGAATACATGGAGTGCAACTTATATAATCTTATGGAGAATCGGCCTCATTTTTTCGTAGAGTCACAAGTGAGAATTTGGTGCTTCCAAATATTTCAAGGTCTTGCATCCATCCATCAACAAGGATACTTTCATCGCGATCTTAAGCCAGAGAACTTGTTGGTTTCAAAAGATTATATGATAAAAATTGCTGATTTTGGTTCTGCTAGGGAGATCAATTCTCAGCCTCCATATACTGAATATGTCTCAACACGCTGGTATCGTGCCCCTGAAGTTCTTTTAGGATCACCAATATATGGTCCTGCTGTTGATATGTGGGCAATGGGTGCAATAATGGCGGAGTTATTAACTCTTCGTCCTCTATTCCCTGGTTTGGGTGAAGCAGATGAGATTTACAGAATATGCAGTGTTATAGGTACTCCATCAAAGAGTGAATGGGCTCATGGACATGAACTTGCTGCTGCTATCAACTACCAGTTTCCACAGATACGTGGTGTAACTCTGTCTAACGTACTCCCATATGTTAGCGAGGATGCAATTAATCTAATAACTTGGCTTTGTTCGTGGGATCCTTGCAAGAGGCCAACAGCGGTGGAGGTTCTTCAGCACAATTTCTTCCAGAGTTGCTTTTATGTACCTCCATCATTATGCTCTAACACTGCTGCTGCTCCTCCATCTGTTGGAATTACGGCAAATCCCTTAGTATAAAGCAATTAACCTAAGCTCAGGATGTATACAACAAGAAGAGAAGTGATTAAAGGCTAGGAACATTTTTTTTTTGTTTTTTAAAAATATGTAAAGTGGCAGTGTGGGATAACACCTTATGCTACATTTTTCACTGTGCAATTTTCTAGTGATATTTGTTTTAGGTTTAAAATAGTTTATGCGAATCATGGGAACGCTACAAAGGATAAAAGATGTAATTGATAATTTTTTGTTACAGCTATTGAATTGAATTTTTTGGACTAATATCATCCTGAAGTATAATTAAAATTTTTAGCTTGTAGGATTTGAGAAACGCCTGAGCCTGACTAGTAAATAGATATGCACATATATATGACTAGTAACTATTACTATATATGTGTCCAAACACCTCTGATGATGCCGCTGATATTTGGGGGGAATTGAGAGTGAAGAAAACTCAAAAGGCAGAAGGTAAAGTTGTTGTCATTTCACCAGGAGGTCACTGGTTCGAGCTGTGGAATAGCCTCGGCATACAATTGACCCTTATGGTTTGGCCCTTCCTTGGATCTGCGCATAGCAGGAACTTGGTGCACTGGGGCCCCTATTTTCTCGGAGATAGTCTGGTATGGCTGCCCTTATTAACTATATTTGTGTAATGGTAGTGTCATTTCCAGCTTTCACCTCGACAAATCCATCAGACGAGCTGCCACACCTACGGGCTACAAGCATAGTTGTTGGATAATCCATCCTACCAAAGTTAGGGCAAATGTGTGTGTTTGACACATAGTATTGTACTGCGATATAAATTTAGGATTTTCCTGTTGTTATTCCTATGCCTCAACCACTCAGCCCTCCCTTTTGCAATCTATCTAGTAAAGGGGGGCTATATTTTAATAAGTAAATTAACACCTCGAGTCGTGAAAGAATCACGTACACCCCTCTATTTACTTGTCTTTACTTAATAGAATGGAAAATACTGGGAGTTGTACAATGATACTCTTGCAATTATAGTGATGAATAATGTATTATGTGTTAGCTAATCTGTGTTATCAAAATCAGAAATTAGTGATTGTAATAAATTGTTCAGAAACACGAAGTAATTGAAATTTATAGAACCAGTAAACAAGATGAACATAAATTTATTTATAAAAAATATTTAAAACGAATGTACCAGAATCTGAAACAATCTTTTAGTTTGGAAAAAGATCAAGTCCACTGAACTTACAGTGTCCCCTTAAGGAAATTATTCCCCTTTAGTATTCGAGGTTTGATTTGGAATATAATCTTCTAGGGTAAAATGATCTTAATCAGCAGAGTGTAGATACCAAAAACTCTACTATCAGCGAATCAATCCACAACAACAAAGTACACAAAGAAAAATGTGTTTTGAAGAAGAAGGAAGATCAAAAAATTCGTTGAAAAATATTCTGAAGACTGAGTGGTATTTATAGGCAAGAAGAATATGTTCTGAAAGGTTGCAACCCTTTCAGAATTGACACGACCATTAATGAATGTTTGCAACCTTTCAAATGGTATTGACTGTTGCTGAAAGTTGCAACCTTTCAGAAAGGTCATGACGGAAATTTTAAATAAAAAGGAAAAATAAAACGGGTCACTCGCGCGGATCCGAGTCGAATCGGGTTAACTAAAAAGTTAAAAACATTTCGGTTAACTTCTGTTATCAACTAATTAATTGAAAATATTTTTTTGGCCATTTAATTAATTAAAAATAAATAATTAAAACAAATTTTGTCCAAAAAATAATCTCGCAATCAATCATTTAAACTCTCCTATTTTCCTTTCCATTACCGATGAGGGACAATCGTCTCTCAACTCTTGAAGTTCTCAACTTTTCAAATTCCTCGTCTTCCCTCTATTTCCCATCAATTCTTGCTACATACCCAACATTATGAACTTTGAATTGATCATTAAGGAGCATGCTTTGGTGAATGCTAAGCTTCAAGTTGTTCGTCATTGGCCTATACCTTGCATGTTTAAGCAATCTACCTTTTGATTTGTTTGGTTTTAAATTTTATCAACTAATTTGGCAACCTTTACCATTTAAATATTATGCAGGTCGCAGTATCATGATAGATTTCATATTTTACTTTGTTTGGTTGAATTGCCTTCAAGTTTTAATCGTACTAGTAATTGATGAGTGAAAAATGACAATATAAGTGTCTATATTATTGTGATATATTATAGTTCATTTGTATCTGGTTTATAAATAGAAATTCACATTATCTAAAATCATGATACAGGAAAGCAAGAGAGCAAAGGAACATCGCAATCAGGTAAAGCAGTTCCCCTCTCAAGGTTATTCTTGATCTCCAAGGTGTATTTTCCATAGGCACGCTCAATCTTTTTGTTGAAGTGCTCGTTACGATCATTAATAGAGTCAATGTCTTTCTCTTCATGGAACTTTCTCCTCCGACTAAATGATTGGTGCTTCTCGTCCCTGTCCTTGAGCTCCTTCACCATCCTCTCTTTCTTGTCGTCTGATAATTTTGGTGCCTTTCCATACTGGAGACTAGAAGCTTCTCGATCAGCTTCCTTCATTCTATTATACTCAGCAACATTCTTTGTCCGCTTCTTGTGTGCATCATATAGCGTCTTCTTATTAAAAACATCCGAACCAGCTGGAGCAGGCTCCGACTCTTGTGTATATGCTTTGCTCATATCTAACCCATCAGCATCCAACGAATTCCCAATTTTCTTCTTCCTCTCTTCAATCCATTTTTGCGACTCTGCAGGTGGAGCTTCTGTTTTTTTCTTCTCTGCTACCATTGCAGATTGTTCATTTTTAACCTCAATTCAAATAACTTTTTCTTCCTCCCTGTGAGATACGCCGACTCTTCTCCCATATTATCCTCTCCATCCACTTTCAACACCGTCTCTTTCATCAGGTGCATCGAAACTCAAATGAATACCAACTCTTCTTCTGTCACTCATGTTCCCAATTTCCGTATTAAGCAATAGAAGAATGAACACAAAACTCTTATTTAATAAGGCTAACGGATCAAATTAGACTAGGATTAGAAAGTCTATTCCTATATGAATTAGGATACAAACCCTAAACTATTTAGGATTCCAACTCTTTGGCTTATTTCCTAAACAGTTAAGTCAATGTCTTTTTCTTTATTGTTAGCTTAAAATTATAGTAATTGTTAGTATTATTACCAATCATTTAAAGTTATATTTTGTTATAATAGTAATATAGAGCTTATTGCTATATGAAATATGACTTGCTTACTGTATAGAATATTCTATTCATTATGAAGAAAGAAAAAAACGTCTTTCCTTTTTTTTAATTTTTTCAGTTCGAGTGAGTTGGTGTGTATTTTAATTAATTCCCAAATAACATATAATTTTGTCCATCTAAACTAAAATAAATATAGAGAAATCACCAAATTTAAAAATCAAGTAAATTTTAGATTTAACAAATATAAAAATCATATATATGTTATAATTATAGTTTATGTAATTGTGCTTCGTTACAAACTTTATATTTAATATGACTATTAATAACAAGTTTCAAAACTTTGAATGTTAATTATGTTGTGGCTTATAATCACTTCCATTATTATACATCAGCATTAAAAACTTTAATTTTTTATTTAAAATATTAAATTAATATAATTCAATCCAACCTTAAAATTTTATCAAATTAATTTTTAAAAATATCTTATGACAAATAAAAATGGATAAAATTAGACAGAGAAAGTAATAACCTTGTACAAGCACACCCAGACCAAAGGCTTTTTTGCAGAAAAAGAGAGAAAAAATGGGGAAACCGAAAGCAGTGATTGTTGGAGGCAGCATAGCAGGTATATGCTGTGCACATGCTCTCATCACGGCTGGTTGGGATGTTGTGGTTATTGAGAAAACTCCACAACCTCCAACTGGTAGCCCCACTGGTGCTGGCCTTGGAATTGACCCTTTCTCTCACAAAATCATTCAATCTTGGATTCAACAACCCCAACTCCTCCAACAAACTACCTTGCCTCTCGTCATCGATCAAGTAAGTTATAGAGTAGTTACTTTCCCCAGCTATGTTGATTTTTTTACTTCAAATTGAGATTTGGGGCAAGGGGAAAATGGGGAGATAGATTACAAGGTGAGGAATCGAAACCACACCAACAAGTTGAAAGTTCATGACACTCAACCAATAGGATTTCTTCATTTTTTTCTGATTGAGTTTGTGTTCTATTGTTGTAATCCTTTTTTTGGTTTCCTCATTTTTTTTTTTATAAAATACAGTAGTTACACTTGTTACTGTTATTTGATGTTTTCTTGAACTATTAACTACAGAACCAGGCAACTGATGGAGAAACAAAAGTGAGCCAGACATTGGCAAGGGATGAACATTTTAATTTCAGAGCAGCTTATTGGGCTGATCTCCATAGCCTTTTGTACGGTGCACTACCGCTAGATATTGTTTTATGGGGTTATTTGTTCCTCTCCTTTTCCATGTATGGTGACAAATCAAAAGTGAAAGTCGAAACTAAAGTCCTTGAAACGGGTACTACAATCAACTTTGTTGCTGATTTGCTTATTGCTGCTGATGGTTGTCTGTCTTCAATCAGACAACATTTCCTTCCTGACCTTAAGCTGAGGTTAGTATATAAAGTCAATTGATGTTCTTCTTTCCCCTCTTCCAGTCGATGAAATGCATCAGTTTGGTGTTTTCAGTGACTTCTATGTTCTGTTAGATATTCAGGTTACTGTGCGTGGAGAGGGGTTCTTGATTTTTCCAAAAAGAAGCACTCAGAAGCCATTATCAACCTTAAGAAAGTGTATCCAGATCTTGGAAAATGCCTGTACTTTGACCTGAGCTCTGGAACTCATAGCGTATTTTATGAATTATTGAACCATAGGTTCAATTGGATATGGTACATTAATCAGCCCGAACCAAACCTCAAGGTAATAAGCTTGTCAAATCCAGTGATATGATTAAAGTAATTTCTATCCTGAATGATCGTTAACATTAGCCGTGAAAACAGAGGAGAATTGTGGGTTCTAATAAGCTGAAGACCAATGTAAAAGAGTTAGCTACCTTTTTCGTTTCATTTTATATGGCATAGTTTGACTGGACAGAGTGTTTCGTAAAGAAAAGCTTAACTTTTGAAACTTGTGTCATAAACATGCCATAATATTAAATGAGAAGTTAAGTTATTGTTTCCAAATTTAGAAAGTTTCCATTCTTATGGAATGGATTAAAGAGAACATCCTGCCACTGGAATGAAGGGAGTGTGTACCTCTTATTTAGTGAGCGTTGGAACAATATGGACCTGAATAAAACAATGTGATATAGCTAATATCAATAAATTCAAAATTGATTAATAGTTGATTGATTTAAAGTGGATGTAGAACTGTTATTTATCATGAATGGATCAACATATAGTTCCATTAGATCAGATAATAATTAGAGATTTGGAGAGTGGATGGACGGATCATTTGCTGAACCACATATCTGATATACAATTAATGATGTAAGTTCAACACATTTCGAGTGTTACCTAGAGGAGTAGACTGGGGACTTTGGTACCATTACTTTATGCTTGTTTTTCCAGATCAGTATCTTGATTATAGTCTGTTTATATTGAGAGTATTGATTCTGAAAACCAATAGTTTGTTATGAAATCTAGGGGAATTCTGTGACGATGAAGGTTAGTGAAAACTTGGTTCAAAACATGCATGAAGAAGCTGAAAAGGCTTGGGTTCCTGAATTGGTCAGAGTAATTAAAGAAATTAAGGAGCCTTTCCTAAATGTAATATATGATTGTGATCCTCTGGAGCAGATTTTTTGGGACAAAGTGGTGTTGATTGGAGATGCAGCTCATCCTACTACTCCTCATGGTTTGAGAAGTACAAACATGTCGATACTGGATGCAGCTGTTTTAGGCAAATGCTT